GATAGTACTCCGACCCTGAGACTAAGATAAAAGCTGCATGAGCTGTTACACTGCAGCTCACTCGGATGATACTCTCTGATGTGTATGTGTCCCCGTGACACCACAGCCCCGTCCTTCTGCAGAAGACTTGAATAAAATTCACAGAAAGTCTTTGCTTGAGCTGTTTATTTAAACACGCTTTTTCCCACCACAAGCTGTAACCGATTAAATCAGCCACACACCTTTAAAAGAGATATTTGTGAGTTTTTAAAAGGAATTTAAATATATTTATAATATATTTATTGCCTATATGTCATCAGGTTGTAACGCCACCTAAAAATTGAGGCATTCACCAACTTTCTCAGTTGCCTATAACAGCCTGTATGGGCCAACTGTTTTCTATGTGAAGGTCAGATTTCCTGCGAAAAGCAAATGTCTTACATAAGCTATGACGTTTATGTACGCAACATTACAGCAAATCATGTGAAACACAGTGTAATTTTGTGTTTTAGTTGGTTTAAACTAGATAATCTGAGCTTGCCGGCAATGATATGTGTGATAACTTTCATCAACCACTTGATCAGTGCAACAAAATTCAAATAGGGCAGGAGGGAACAAAGATGAAGAGAATAAACTGATGAAGTAATGTAGGCGGTGTAGCACAGGCACAACCTGGAGGAGGAACTACTCTAAATTACTGTATTAGTATAATATAACATTAAATGAAAAGTACATTGTTAATTTAATAGTAAACTGTAAGTTTGATATTAATATATTCATTATGTTACTGTATTCAATATAATTTTATATAATAGTATATAACTTACCACTAGTATAATATTAATTAGAGTGACAGCTGTTTCAGTTTGGGTTTTTTTATTCATTAACTTTGTGCAAGAAAAATGCTCTAGGCTACATGATAGTCTCCAACCTTGATTTTGGGCTACTAACTCGTCAATAATCATAACCTTTTATGCAGAACATTGAGTTCAACATTTATAAAGTTTGCTGTAGCAAACTTCAGGCTTTGATAGATCTGATCACTAAAAGTGACATTGACGAGCGCTTCGTTTTTATGAAAAGTTGAACGTGTTTAAATAAAAGGCACCGACTTAGCTAAATAACCAGCTAACGTTAGCCAAACCCAAGTGTCATTTATAAAACTTTATAGATTTATTTTCAATCTGGCGCTCTCACAGACCTGACGGGATCAAGGTGAACACGTCACAGTACATATGACTGGAGGTCTGAGGTTACACCAACTGATTTGTGGTGGAAATTGTACTTTTCCTTTTGAAGAAATAAAGAAGTTACAACAAACAGGTGTCTTTGTGATATTTATTAAAGTAAGAATAAGTGATTCAGCTGAAGAGCAGAGCTCCTACACCAGAGGGCTGTTAGAGAGTCTGACCCAGAGAAACAGAGAAGACATTTAATGCTAGAGAATAATTGTGGAGTCTAAAAGAAAAGCCTTTCTCAGCCTTGAACCACAGTGGAAACTCCTTTCTCACAGGAAAGCATGACACAAAACAATCTCACAGAAGGTCATTATATCAAAACACTGGTACACTTAGTGGAAATTATAACATCACATAATACCTAAGATAAGCAAAGAACAATGGCATATAGAGGAAAGAACAAAGAACATAAGGAAATGACATATAGAAAGATTATTAAAAGTACATACAAGTAAAATCTATTTGTTTCTATTACAGTTCCCCCTTTGGCCGTCACATGGTCTAGGGCTGGGTATCGTTCAAAGATTTTCGATATCGATACCGATACCTTGACTTCGATACCGGTTCCTGAACGATACTTTTTCCAATACCAATTTTATTCTCAACAAACGGAGAACCATTGTTGTTTGTATAAAGTAACTTAATTATCACATAACCACACAATAACCAGCAAACGATGTGGGCTTTGTAGATCATTGGCAGACTTTCTGGGGAAGACCTGGTCTGATCCGGAGAGACGGCATCCATCCCGATGGGGGGAAGCAGCTCTCATTTCTAGAAATCTGGCCAAGTTTATTAGTGGATCAAATCCATGACAACCCAGAGTTGAGACCAGGAGGCAGAGTCGCAGTTTAACACACTTCTCTGCCCTTCTTTTTCAGCAGTTACTCACCCAAAACCCTACGCAGAGTCGCAGTCTAACACACTTCTCTGCTCCTCCATTTCAGGAGTTACTTAGTGAAAATCCTATAGTGACGGTGTCTGTCCCCCGACCATCGAAATTATTTAAAAACAGAAGAGGAGCTGTGCATAAAAACCTCATAAAAATTAAAACCACAAGAGCAATAGTGCAAACGAATAGGAAAATTAAATGTGGACTCTTAAACACATCAGATCTCTCTCCTCTAAAGGTGTACTAGTAAATGAACTAATATCAGATTATGATTTTGATTTATTTTGTCTTACTGAAACCTGGCTGGGTGATGGAGAATATGTTAGCCTAAATGAATCCACCCCTCCCAGTCATATTAATACTCACATTCCTCGAGGCACAGGCCGAGGAGGTGGAGTTGCAGCTATCTTCGACTCTACCCTACTAATCAGCTGTAGACCTAAACTTAATTATAACTCATTTGAAAGTCTTGTTCTTAGTCTTTCGCACCCAAGTTGGAAATAGTCCTTAAAATGGACAAAGTTATTATTGTAGGGGACTTTAATATTCATGTGGACGTTGAGAATGACAGCTTCAGCACTGCGTTTATCTCTCTGTTAGATTCCATTGGCTTCTCTCAGAGTGTTCATGAACCGACTCACTGTTTTAACCACACCCTCGACCTTGTTTTGGTGTATGGTATTGAAATTAAACATTTAATAGTGTTCCCACAGAATCCCTCTTTGTCCGACCACTGTTTGATAACTTTTGAGTTTGTATTGCTGAACTACACGCCATTGGGCAAAAGTTTCTATACAAGATGTCTGTCTGATAGTGCTGTAGCTAAATTTAAGGATGCAATTCCATCAGCTCTAAATTCATTATCAAGTCATAAAGTAACGGAGGACTCCTATGCTAATTTCAGTCCCTCCATAGTCGATCATCTTGTTGATAGTGCTGCAGGCTCGCTGCGAATGACACTCGACTCTGTAGCCCCTCTAAAAAAGAAGATACTAAAACAAAGACGGTTAGCTCCATGGTATAATACTGAAACTCGCAAATTAAAGCAAATATTGCGGAAACTAGAAACGGAGGAATTGGCGTTCCACCAAAGTGGAAAATTCTCGTTTAATTTGGCAAGATAGTCTTAAAACTTATAGGAAGGCCCTCCGTAATGCCAGAGCAGCGTACTACTCGTCATTAATAGAGGAAAATAGAAACAACCCCAGGTTTCTTTTCAGCACTGTAGCCAGGCTGACAGAGAGTCACAGCTCTATTGAGCCAAGTATTCCCATAGCTCGCAGTAGTTACGACTTCATGAGCTTCTTTAATGATAAAATTCTAACTATTAGAGACAAAATTCACCAACACCTGCCCTCAACTGGCACCAACTTATCTCTTAACTCAGGAACCTTAGAAACAGCTGTAGAACCAGATACATGTTTAGACTGTTTTGCTTCCCTCAATCTTTACAAACTAACTTCAATAATTTCTTCATCTAAACCATCAACCTGCCTCTTAGACCCCATCCCGACTAGGTTGCTTAAAGATGTTTTACACTTAGTCAGCACTTCTATACTAGATATGATCAATCTATCTTTACCAACAGGCTATGTACCACAGTACTTTAAAGTAGCTGTAATTAAACCTCTTCTGAAAAACCCAAACTTGATCCGGATGTTTTAGCCAACTATAGACCTATATCTAACCTTCCATTTCTCTCTAAGGTTCTGGAGAAAGCAGTTGCTAAACAGCTGTGTGACTTTCTACAGAGCAATAGTTTATTTGAGGATTTTCAGTCAGGATTTAGAGCTCATCATAGCACAGAGACAGCACTGGTGAAAATTACTAACGACCTCCTTATTGCATCAGACAAAGGACTTGTCTCTGTACTGGTTTTATTAGATCTTAGTGCTGCATTTGATACCATTGACCAGCAGATCCTATTGCAGAGACTGGAACATTTCATTGGCATTAAAGGAACCGCTCTAAGCTGGTTTAAGTCCTATTTATCAGATCGATTTCAGTTTGTACATGTTAACGATGAGTCCTCCAGCATGCCAAAGTTAGTCATGGAGTTCCTCAAGGATCTGTCCTCGGACCAATCCTCTTCACTTTATATATGCTTCCCTTAGGCAATATTATCAGGAAATATTCCATAAGCTTTCATTGTTATGCAGATGATACTCTGTTATATCTATCGATCAAGCCAGATGAAACTCATCAGTTAGCTAAACTTCAAATGTGCCTTCAGGATGTTAAAACCTGGATGACCTGTAATTTTCTAATGTTAAACTCAGATAAAACTGAAGTTATTGCTCTGGGGCCTAAGCACCTCCGTGACGCATTATCTAAAGATATAGTTTCCCTTGATGGCATCGCCCTGGCCTCCAGCACCACTGTGAGGAATCTTGGAGTTATCTTTGATCAGGACATGTCGTTTAAGTCTCACATTAAGCAAATTTCAAGGACCGCCTTTTTTCACCTACGTAATATTGCGAAAATCAGGAACATCCTGTCTAAAAATGATGCAGAAAAACTAGTCCATGCATTTGTTACTTCTAGGCTGGATTACTGGAATTCCTTATTATCAGGCTGCTCGAAAAAGTCCGTTAAGACTCTTCAGCTGATCCAGAATGCTGCAGCACGTGTTCTGACAGGAACCAGGAAAAGAGATCATATTTCTCCTGTTTTAGCTTCTTTGCATTGGCTTCCAGTAAAATCCAGAATAGAATTTAAAATCATTCTTCTTACCTACAAAGCTCTTAATGGCCACGTTGAGAGCTTCAGTCTGCTTCAAAGCAGAGCTTCATGAAGAATCAAAGAGAATCTTTTATTTAAGATGAAACATTTAAAACTTGAGCGGACATGTCCTCACCTCATCTGGAGCCAACTTGAGTGAATCTGCGCTCTTTGCATCGACTAGATTTATATTTGCTTTCAGTTTGAACAAAACCACATTCAGCAATTGAAAATAAACACAGTGAATATAGATGTAAAATACAGATTAATGTAAATATGTGTAACTACAGCTTAATTACAAGAATATATGTATGAATAACACAGAAACAATATTTCATTAAGTGTGGAGCTTCATTCTTGACCTTGGGGAACACATCTGTAATAAATGAGTCTGAACTCAAGCCTCACATTCCACCTATTTGTTGGAGATTTTGACCACATCCCATGGCCTTCTTAAAGAGTCACTAAACCCCCAAACCTCTTATTTCAGCTGATAACCAATGTGTATGGGTTTTTAGTAGTGTTGTTGATGGATTGTCTTGAATTTTTACTGCAAAGTATTTGAATTCCACATATAGTGCTATAAAATGCAGGGACTGCCCTCTACTGGTGGAAAACTGGCTACTCCAATTTACTTTTGCTATTGGCTGATAAACCCTCCGGACTGACGCTTTCCAGCTCTTTCCAAATCAAACTTCCTCAGCTGTCATCACATGACGTTAGTCCAGCACAGTCACATGATAACAGGTGGTTGTATTCAGGGCAGGAGGAAACAGCTAGCTCGGCTCTGTGAAAACTGTCACACTGATGCTTTGTGAATGCATTTGTGTCTTCTAAGGGTTCTCCTCTTGGTACAAGATTTGCCACATTGGCCACAGCTGTACGGTTTCTCTCTAGTGTGAACACGTTGGTGAATTTGTTGGGCACCTAATGTAGCAAAAGTTTTTCCACACTGTTCACAGCTGTACGGTTTCTCTCCAGTGTGAACACGTTCATGGATTTGGAGGTTACCTGACTGAGCGAAAGTTTTTCCACACTGTTCACACCAGTACGGTTTTTCTCCAGTGTGAATACGTCGGTGGATTTCTAACTTATCAGATCTAGTGAAAGTTTTCCCACACTGTTCACACCAGTACGGTTTCTCTCCAGTATGAACACGTCTGTGGACTTCTAAATTATAAGATCTACTGAAAGTTTTTCCACACTGTTCGCAACAGTGAGGTTTCTCTCCAGTGTGAACACGTTGGTGGATTCCTAACTGACAAGATTGACTGAAAGTTTTTCCACACTGTTCGCAACAGTGAGGTTTCTCTCCAGTGTGAACACGTCGGTGCATTTTTAGCTCATGTGAACTACTGAAAGTTTTCCCACACTCATCACAACTGTAAGGTTTCTCTCCAGTGTGAACACGTTGGTGGATTTGTAGGACACCTGATGTAGCAAAAGTTTTACCACATTGTTCACACCTGTGAGGTTTCTCTCTAGTGTGAACATGTCTGTGGATTTCTAGGTGATCTGATCTACTGAAAGTTTTCCCACACTGGTCACAGCTGTACGGTTTCTCTCCAGTGTGAACTCTCTGATGAATCTTCAAATATCCAGATGTTGCGAAGGATTTGTCACAGTGCTGACAGCGATGACGTTCGAGTCCATCTCGTCGTCTCCGTTTCTATAGCAACAGATAAACATACAGAAAGACATGAGATGTCATGGTGGAGAGAGCTATCTAGAACCATAAACACCATACTGTACTGAACCACACACTCAGTATTTACTGTAACCTAAATAAATCATCAGTGTGTTGGGGTTTTCAACATTGGGGTTCAGGTATGTTTATTAGCTGAACATCAAAGATATTCTAGAAATATTAATAAAGCTATTAATATTCAAATGTATTCATTATAATTAATTAATTAATTAATACGGGGCACCACCCAGGAATCAGGGACCAATAACCAAATATGAGCCAAATATGATAAGTCTAAAATGGGTTTGTCCACCTGTAGATGGCAAACAGAAGGGTGAATCCGTAACTAGCCGTGGCAACCAACTCTTACTACAACATTATACACAAATATTCACAGGCAACAACTTCTTAAAATTATAATAATAGGATTACGGAGGGGGCGGATTCGACCACTGATTTTGGAATCAAGATGGCTGTTCAGACCATGTGATTTCAGGATCAAGATGGCAGAGAATCTCCCTCTCCTGAACTACAAAACAAATATGGGGATGCACTCTGATGCTAGACTGCTATCGGTCCAGGTCTGGTTAGCTTCAGGAGGTCACGTGGTGAATGCATGTGGGGTTAGTATGTAGAAACAATATTCTGTCCATCCATCTACGTTCCAAATAAAGCTTCCAACATATTGAAATTGATAAAAATTGTCAATATCATCAATAGTCCTATAACCGAAAGAGCTTTCATGCTTTATAGCCCCTTAACTTGAGAATAGATATTGTTTGATATATTGGATGTCTGTGGGCCAGCAGACGACAAAAAGGACAGTCTCTTCCAAAGTGGAACTTTTCCTGTGCTGCAGTTTCTGTTACGATCCTGTCCTGAGTTTCTCTGAGTTTATTATTTTGTCAGTTCAGTATCTGTTATTTAGTCTGTATTTTGGTACCATGTCTTTGTTCCTAGTCCTGTGCCTTAATTCATGCCTTAGTATTAACTTCTAGTTCTTTGTCTGCATTATTTTAGTTTAGTCTGCTCTGTATTCTGTGTTCTAGTTCTGTGTTCTCTGTGTTATTGTCTGAAGTTAGATTCTTGTCTGGTATTTTGTAACTGTGTTCTGTCTGTGTTGGTTATTTATTTTGCCCCATGTCTGCCTGTCAAATGCTCCGTCTGTTCCCCTTTGCTGTCTCTCTGCCTGCCTGCCTCCATTTTCCCTGATGTCTCTCTGCCTTGTTACCTTGATCTCTGTCACCTGTGTTGCTCCCACCCTGCTGGTTAGTCCCTGTGTATATATGCCTGGTGTTTCTGTTAAATATTTGTCCAGTCATTGCATTGTGTTGTAGTGCATTAATAAATCACTGAACTGTACCAGTCAGCCTGCGTGTCTTGCATTTGGGTACACCAACCTGCTCTACCCTACACCTACTGTAACAGTTTTAGCCGAAAACCAAACTTTGGAGTTTAGAGATATTGCGCAATACCAAGATGACGGCCTGAGAGTTATTTTTACACACAAAACAGCTGTTTTTGGACAAAAAAACCTGCAAAATCAGCCAAATCTAGCGGTTGTAACTGTATATGTATATTGATGCGTTTGTTGTTATTATTAACCGGCTAATAAGTCTGATTTTGTTGATTGAGTGATAGGAGTTATGCACCTAATCAGGGCTGATTTTGGGTCAAGCAAGTTAAAAGACTATTGCAGTAATTGAAACGGGACATGTTAAACTAAGGTGAGTCCTGCAATTAACATCACAGGTGTCTTCAAACTTGCAGTCAGTCAGTCTGCCTATTTAAAGGGTGACAAGTAGTCAGTGGCGGTTTTAGTGATTTGGAGGCACTGGGCAAAGAAGAGGCCCTCCCTTCATTAATATTTTCATGAAAAAAAGCTTTTTTCAATAGCTTCTGTTTCATGTGATTCAGGGACTCCTAAAAAAAAAAGCTGTTTTTCCATAAATATATATATATATATATATATATATATATCCATCCATTGTCAACCACAAGGTATTTCAATTGAAGACGCACGATCAAAATAAAGTATTACTGTATGTCAGCCATGACAGGAAGGAAGCACATTAAAAAAGGGACAGAACAATGGGTTGTCTGATGAGTAGTGGAGAAGTATGATAATTTGAGAGTCAAGTCATGGCAATCAATAAACATCATAATATCTAAGTTCACCACAGTGTGTTATTCAGTCAGTGCTCAATTCAAAGCCCACAGTTCAACCACCAATGAATGAGTTTAAATCTCCACAGAGTCCATCTCAACAAAAAAAAAAAAAAAAAAAAAAAAATTCCTCTTCTGGATCCCAGCAAGGTAACCATAAATACTGAGTGCAAAAGTTGGCCAACGAAAATAAAACCAAGTGATGCCTCGCGTTTTACAAACAAGTGATTCTCCAACACTGTTGTTACCTCCCGTAGTCTGGGCGATGTTTTGGTGTGCAGCATTTGCCTGAGTGTATTTATTGTATTCCATTGGTTGCAGGGAATGAAATTAACACCTGCCAAATGTGGGTAAATTGTGGCAGTGGGGGAGTGGAGGAGTGAAATCGTGAGGCCCCCCTGGCGGCTGATGCCCGGGCAGTTGCCCACCTTTCCTCAATGGTAAAACCGCCTATGCAATTACTGTGTACTGTTTGGTACATAGTGTGTACCACACTGAACATGGACTACAGAAAGCTAAGGAGAGAGCTGTCTCAGGAGATTAGAAAGATAATTATAGACAAGCCTGTTAAAAGGTAAAGGCTGTTAAGACCATCTCCAAGCAGCTTGACGTTCCTGTGACTACAGTTGCACATATTCAGGAGATTAAGGTCCACAGGACTGTAGCCAACCTCCCTGGACGTGGAAATCTGATGACAACTGGAAGAGACTGATAGTACAAATGGTAGCCAAAGAGCCCAGAACAACTTTCACAGACATTGTGGTTGATTGGAGGTGAACTCCAAGGTTGAGGTACATTATTGTCAGATCACACCATCTGTTGCTGTTTGGTCCAACATGGACTTAATGGAAGACGACAACTGTCATAAAAAAGCGAGCCTGGAATTTGCCAAAATGCATTTTGACAAGCCAGAAAGCTTATGATAGGATGTCCTTTAGAAAGATTAGACAAAACTGGACCTGTTTGGCGAGTTACCTCAGCTCTATGTTTGCAGACGCAAAAATTAGTATACAAAGAAAAGAACACCGTACTACTGTGAAGCATGGATGAGGCTCTGTTATGGGAATTCCAAACATATTGCATGTAACCCTGGACTCAGGGAGACTCATCTGTGATGTGGCACTGACTCTGTGTAAACGTAACAGTCAAAATATCTCAGTTCTCTGTGTTATCTAGACTTCAGGGACAACGTGTCTCTGTGGGATGATAAGATTGACCCTAAAGCTGGAAAATAACAGGCTCACTGAGCTCTCCTCACTCATTCGAGCATACATGTATGTATGTGTGTTTCTGTGAGTCCTTCTGCAGAAGACTTGAATAAAATCACAGAAAGACAAGTGTTTGCCTGAGCTGTTTATTTGAAAACTCGAACTGCCATCACAGGCTCTGTTATGTTTGGGGCTGCTTTGCTGCATCTGACACCGGGTGTCTTGAATCTGTACAGGGTACAATGAAATCTCAAGACTATCAAGGCATTCTGGAGCAAAATGTGCAGCCCAGTGTCAGGAAGCTTGGTCTTAGTCGCATATCATGGGTTCTCCAACAGGATAATGACCCACAAATCAGCTAAAAACACCCAAGAACGGCTAAGAGCAAAACATTGGACTATACTGAAGTGGCCTTCTATGAGCCCTGATTGAAGTCCTATTGAACATCTGTGGACGGGCCTGACACCCTTCAAACCTGAAACAGCTGGAGCAGTTTGCTTATGAGGAGTGGGAAAATACCAGTTGACAAGTACAGAAGTCTCATGGAAGGACTGCCTCAAAAGGTTGTGCAACAAAATGTTACTTTCATGTACTATCATTTTGTCCAGGCCAGTTTCAATAGTTTTTTTTTTTTAATGATTCTGTTTAACCACAATTCAAAAGCATTGTCTGATTTTCATCAGTAAATTTTATGTATTATTACTTTTGTCAGTTCAAAGTTATTTCAGGAACCACTGTGTTTTTCTTTCTTTAATGGAACCAACAATTTTGTCAATGTCTGTAAATTACTGTTGAACCAGATGCCTAGATTATTAGCAACAGGCTTAAGGTGATTCACTAGGGATCCAGCAGATGGCAGTATTTGCTTTGCATTTGCCAGGATCTCCGTTTTGTTCAGCTGGAGGAAATACATTTTTGACATCACAAAGGCAGTCGGTAAGTGAACTCAGCATTCCAGGGTCTGTGGATTTGACGGGCAGGTAGATCTGTGTGTCATCAGCATAAATATGAAAAGAGACACGTTTCTGGATAATGTGTCCAAGGGGAAGTAAATACAAGGAAAATAAAATGGGTCCTAAGACTGACCCTGAGGCACACCATATTTACCTGAACAGAATGAAGAGACAGTTATTCACAGACACACAGAATCTATTTGACAGGTTGGATGTAAATCATTCTAAAGCTTACCAGATCCCCACCCAGTGCCTCAGTCTGTCTAACATGTGTTGTGATCCGTGGTGTCAAATGCAGCGCTAAGATCCAGGAGTACTAGGACTGAGCACATGCCATCATAAGCAAACATTAAAAAGGTCATTGGTGACTTTAAGCAGGGCAGTCTCAGTGCTGTGGTACTTTCTGAAACCATACTGAAACTTTTCAAATATTTTTTTCCAGTAAAGAGAGCAGTTGTTTGGACACAATTACAGTACGTCTAAATCTTTGATATAAAAGGTAATTTGGAAATTGGTCGAAATTTTTGAGGGAGGGATCCAGGCCCAGCTTTTTAAGTGGGTTTACGCAAGCAGTTTTAACGAGTAGATAGG